TGTTACTTTAACAACAACTAGTATTTGATCATGTGCATTTGTACAGATATAAAATGCTTTTTGTTTGTATTTATTAGTTATACATGTACTTCTATCATATAAAGATTATTACTTTTTCTTAAATTATTTTTATCATTCAAAATTAGTTGAGATTTATATTTCATTTTAACCATGCAACGTTTAAATTAGTAGCATGAATAAAATAATTTATATATGTGTGGTATATATTAAGAAAAATAACATAAATAAAAAAAATTATTGGTGTTTTTTTATTTTTAGAAAAAAAAAAAGATGTGTCAATCATATTTTTCAACAATGCAACCAAATATAGCGGTTACAGTTCTGAATGTGTCAATCAACTTTAACTTCCAACATTAGCCGTTACACATTTGAATATTTTGCTATCAAATTTAGAATTAATTTAATAACTAATCTAATAAATAATAAATATATATATTAACGTGTAACGATTTTAGTATATTGTGAGTAATTAATTAAAAAAAAATATAACTCATTTTGGAGGGAAATGAAAATAGGTTTTATTTAATATTTTATTAAATGCACTAACTAGTAATTATATATATATCCTCTCTATATATAATTCCCGAATGCGCTGAGCCTACGTGGCAGCTTCTGGTGCTTCGAAATCCTACTTGGCGAAAAATCATGCTTCGTAGTTAGGTTTGGACAAATAATATTATATATTAATAATTAATAATTTAGGTTCGGGAATTCCATAAATATTATTTAGCTAATTTAGGTATTTTAATATCACTTTTACTAATATAACCCTTTAATTCTTTGTAATTTTACATAGTGAGGCACTAAGTGACTAATATATCTCTGAATTTTGATTTGCTTCCTCCAATACGCTATTGAATTATAAATGTATTTTAAAAGTTGATAACTTTTGTATTTATTATCGGTTTTACATACATAATATATCTAATTAATCATCTTTTGGTGATCTTCGATTTGACATCCATATTGTATATATGAAATAAATAAATTATATTTATCTTTAAAATAATAAAAATTAATAATATTTATTAAAATTCATTAGAAAAAATAAAATTATTTCTCAATTGATATATTTATATTTAATGTAGTTATATATTGTAAGTTAAAAAAATTAGTATAATATAACACAAGTAAGTCGCACAAATAAAAAGTATCATAATAAATATATAATAATATATATTCTTATAAAAGGTATTTAAATTTTCAAACTACTTTTTCTCATTAATTTTAGATTTTAAGAACAAATTAGCAAGCACTCGTGTAATACACGGGTGTTGTACTAGTATGATCTATTACTAGAGCATATCATGATCCAATTGCAAAAATTGTTGAAAGCACGTATTCGATGTTCAAGAATGCAACCGACGATCCAAGTTACTTGAAAGACAGGGATATACTTGCGCCGACATTGGAGATCGTATACATGTCGTCGTTGAATTTGATTGAAGGACGCACGTATTTAAGCTCTGACATTATGTGCAAATCCGACCGATTTTCTGGCAGAACTCCATACTCCTGAGTTCTTGAATACTATCAAGTGTTATGGAACACCGAATCATGAGTTGAAATTGAAGGTAGGAACTCCAGTGATGTTGTTGCGGAACATGGATCACTCAATGGGACTCTGCAATGGTACAAAATTGGTTGTAACCAAACTCTTCAATCATGTTCTCGTGTGTAAAATTCTTACTAGCGATCATGCAGGTGATAAAGTTTTGATACCTCGGATGACCATAACTCCTTCTGATGTTAGAGTACCATCCAAAGAAGGCAATTCCCCATTATGGTCTTGTACACAATGACTAAACAAGAGTCAATGTCAATCTTTATCGCAAGTTGACTTATTCTTGAAGAACCAAGTTTTTAGTCATGACCAGTTATGTGTCGTTGTCTCCCGTGTCATTAACAGAAAGAGTCTGAAAATTTTAATTTGTGGCAAAGAAGGTTTGAGACAAAATCAAACCAATAATGTTGTGTATAGAGAAGAGTTTAATAATATATGATTTTTTTTATACTTTGTATCTTTTTTTCCCACTATAATTATTATTTTTAAGGAAAAATATTTAAAATAAAGTTTAGAAAAAAAGAGTTTGAGAAAATAATCCCACCGTGCAGTGCACGAGTACTACACTAGTATGAACGAAAATTAGGGTAAAGTAAAATAAAAGTGGCACTACAAATGAAATTTTGTGGCGGATGGTAAATGAAATTTCGAACCGTCGCTGAACCGTAAGAATACGTGCAAGAACTCAACGCCGGAGGGGTTTTCGATGTAGAGCCTCCGACGCTCAAGTCAGTATGTGAGAGAGATGAATAGAGCTGCTCTGAGGGAGCAGCAGCAATGGAGAAGAATAGAGAGTGAATGAGAGTTAGGGTTTTAGGGTTACCTCAACTCCTTTATATAGGAGTATAACGTTCACCTGAAGTCCCCAAAATACCCTGGCCGACTTATGTGAAATGTCTGAAATAACCTAGTCGTTTCGCATTCCGTCCACCTCCTAGTCAGCATAAAGATTCCTTCTTATCCTTAACAACCTTATTATACTATGTTGAAGTATGTGGGATTCGTCGGAGATCTCAGGGCCTCGAGGCGTCCTAAGTCGACCTAGTACGCCGTCGAGTCGACTTAGGTCCTTCTTAAGCGTCGATGGGTCATGATAATTTTATCCATCCTTCTGGGAGAAGTCGACTTCTGGAGGTCGACTGAGGAGGGTAAGTATCTGGAGCTTGTAAGGCTGAAGACAGTTCTTAGGAAGCTTGAGAGAAGAGTCGACTTGATGGAAGTCGATTCCTTGATGTCGATTACCAAAAACCGACTCACATGCCTACTCTTCGACTGGGTAACTGATGCTTGAACCGTTATGCTACAATACGGCTATATCACCTACATTCAATAATTATTACTAATAATTATATTGCTTTTTCTATTAATCATTTAAGTACATTATATTTTTGTAAGTAGTTTTTTTACTCTTTATCTATAATATTTGGTGTTTTTCTTTGTCATAAATGGTTCATAATACGTGTAACATCTTAAGATAAAAAAAAA